TTGGGGTTTTTGGAATCAAACATCAAAACCGCGTTTGGGAGCAAGACGGCCGTTTAGGAAAAAAACAAAAAACAAAAAAACAAAAATTCTCAAATAAAGTGGCGCCGCCACGGATCACTGAGCGCTTCCCATAGCTAAACGCTATCGAGAGTAGCCTCCGTGCGTTTGGGCGGCAAACCCCGCGAGCAAAATGGAGAAGGGCAGAAACGTGGTGGTTTCAGCTCTACAGTTTGCCTGCACTGACGACGTCTCAACCAATGTCGCCACCGCCGAGAGGTGCCCATGTTTGGAACTCACTTTTGATTGATCATCTTTCCTTACAGCCCTAATTCACACTCTTAATGTCTAAAAAGCTGAACTTGATCACACTTGTATAGAAAATCTTGAGCTACCCGCGATAAAAAGATTTCTACTTTACCCTTTCCATGATCAGAAGTCTGTACATCGCTCATTTATTACAGATTGTGTTAACCTTCGAATGTTTAATATCACTGCTTTGTGCAACAGCTAAAACCTATAGTTCTTCTCTATGGAATCCACATGACAACTTTCTTGAAGGCGGACTACTTCAAAGAACTTTGATTGTTAGACAAAGATTTGAACATTTCTTGAGGAATCCATGTTAAATTCGTGCAAAATTCTCCTCACAAATCTTGAGCCAGTTTCTTTGTTAGAACCCAATTTCTGGTTCCAGTTTAAAATTGTTTATAGTTGGGCTAGGGTCTCGAGCAAATCAGTTCAACTCATTGCGCATATTTCAATCCTGGAATGTTTGCAAATATACATAAATATATATATATTTTTGGGATACAGTAATGTTTGCAAATGCTTTGCGATAGTTCTTGCTGCAACCGATCCAGCATTCTGCTCTTCTTCTTTGTCCAGGAAGAGCGGCGTCTTTTTTAAGTTTCCTGGCTGCTACTTAGATGTTTAGAAACAGTTCGATCTTACGGGTTCTGTGACATTTAGATGCTAAATAAAGTACATATAGTTCTATCTTATGGGCTGTGTCTTTCTGAGGCTACTTCTTTTTCCGTTTCCATGTGATTTCAATCATACGACGTAAAAAATTACCGTAATTATCAATGACAATATATCTATGGATGTCATTTGATGCTTCTGGCTCTTCTGTGCAGGCTTGTTAGAGCTGCTCATAAAAAAGGTGCAAATATTATTCTTATTCAGGTTTGTAAATCTTGAATGCGGGCTGTCTAGCTCTTGCATGCTCCCTCCTTATTTTACACTATTATAGAAATTCTAAAACACTACATCTTTTGTTGGATTCATATTGTTTATAAGCGAAAGGCTTGTGCTTCCTAATTATTTCATGAAGGGATTATCTACAGTTTATAATCTGATTGCACAGCGGCTTTTCTTCCGTTGCTTTTATAAATGCCATTGTTCTCTCATTGGGCTGGAAAAGATAAGCTAAGCGATATTCTAAATGCCAAATATAGGATCTGGTTAAGTGATGAAGAAAGCAAAATCGTTCATTTTACTATGTTGTATCAAATGGAATTGGTGTTAGATTTGAACAATGTGCTATTCCACCTATAAATTATTCATTTGTATAAATTGTTCGGCCAGGATTGATTCTATGATGGTCGTTGGTCTTGCTTCATTTGATGCTTAACTTTTAATTTCAGCTTAAAACCTTCCATCTAAGGGAAATTGAATTTCTTGGTGTTAGATGTTTTTATGGAAACAATGGATTTCTGTCCAATGGCAGGACATTGTAGTGGACTCATTACTTCTGATGGTTATTGCATTCCTGATGGGTTGTTGATTAGTTCATCCTCACGAATGACTGTAGGAACTCTTTGAAGGTTATTACTTCTGTCAGGCACAGAGAGAGGATTACATTCAAAGAGCTAAGCCTCATGAGGGCCACCCAACAATTCTAAGGTTCATAGGAGAACTGTCTTTTGTAGTTTCGTTCTCTGTGTCTTTTGTAGGTACTCTTTGAAGGTTATTACTTCTGTCAGTCAATGTTGGCATGCCATTTTGGCTTGAATCATATACGGTTCTTTTTAAGCCTTTAGTGGACAGGAATAAAATTTGAATATGACTTTAACTTGCATTGACTTTGCAGTTAATCATATCTTTTATTTCCATTCGCATGCTATAGGATGCAGAAACTTGCTAAGGAGTTAGGTGTAGTCATACCTGTTAGCTTCTTTGAGGAGGCAAACAATGCACATTATAATTCTATAGCCATTGTTGATGCTGATGGAACTGATCTTGGGGTCTACAGAAAGTCACACATCCCAGATGGACCAGGTATGAAATTTTGAGGTTATTTGAGCATAGTTTACCATCCAAACAACTTAAATCATTAACCCTTTCTACAGGTTACCAGGAAAAGTTCTATTTTAATCCAGGTGACACAGGCTTTAAGGTGGGCACCAAGGATAAACTTTACCAATATCCACTGCTTTTAGTGGCTCGTTTTTGTTTTATGGTTTCTGGGATGATATTGTAACATTGGATGTCTTTCAAAACAGGTTTTCCAGACCAAATTTGCAAAGATTGGAGCTGGTAAGACCAAAGAATTACTTTTACTGTTCACAGTTTATTCTATTAACCTGCTCTCTGAGAAGGTGATGTTAACCCTTTGTTTGGTATTTAGCATCAACTATGAAGACGTCTAAGACAGACGGAAAGGCATTGTACCTGTAATTTTTTCCGAGTTGTTTGGCCTTGGTTTTACTGTAGGATATACTTTTGCAACAAGTAACATTTCGGAAGTTTTATTTTTAATCTTTCTGCCAGATGGAACTTCACTGAGGATACGGGAGATTGAGTCTGACAATTATTATGTTTTAATTTTAATGTCAGCTATCTGCTGGGATCAGTGGTTTCCAGAGGCAGCACGGGCAATGGTTCTTCAAGGTGCTGAGGTTTTGCTTTATCCCACGGCTATTGGGTCTGAACCTCAAGACGAAGGGCTAGACTCCCGTGATCATTGGAAGCGGGTTATGCAAGGACATGCTGGGGCCAATTTGGTAGGTTTTGTAGATCACTTGACATGCTCACAAATATTTCTTTTACATTTACATCAATGTTTCTGTTCAAGAAGTTTCACTAACGTGGTGTTTGGCATGTGCAAAGTATAATCTCCTTTGCCCTTGGAACCCTATTAATGAGAATTTTTTTGGGTCGGATCATTAATGAGATATTTAAGAAAAAGAAATATTTAAATTTATGTGCCCCAAATAGTATAGGGATTTTCAAATTCTTGGAAGAAATTAAGAAAAAGCGTACAGTAAATGCTACTGAAGTCTTTACTCTCCAAGCTATTGAATAAAATAATTCTGGAATTTGCAGGTGCCTGTTGTGGCTTCAAATCGAATAGGAAAGGAGATAATTGACACTGAGCATGGGAAAAGTGAGATTACATTTTATGGAAACTCTTTTATCGCAGGTAGTTATTCTGACCTTTGTTTTAGTGCGTCGGGAAAAAAAAAAGCCTTAATCCCTGACTAATAATGGAATGGGGTCTTTCAATGAAAAATTGAAAACTGATCATCTTTCAACTCTTGAATCTTGATGTATCTTCTTGCTCTGTAGCCCCCTCCTCTGTTTTCTTGTTCATGATAGTTCAGTAAACTCAATGTCATTTTCTTCATCATCTGAGGAATTTAGCTGCAAATATAACTATTCTGAATCTTGTTTACTTTGTTTCAATGAACAGGACCTACTGGAGAAATTGTTTCAACTGCTGATGATAAAGAAGAAGCTGTTCTTATCGCTGAATTTGACCTGGACAAGATCAAATCACAGCGACATTGTTGGGGTGTATTCCGAGATCGCCGACCAGAACTATATAAGGTGCTACTGACACTAGATGGCACCAATACTGTTCTGTAAAAAAAAAAAAAAAAGCCTCCACGACATTGTTATGGAATTATGTATGGGATGTTTTAGTCCTCTAAATGCCTCCAGGACATGTATCATCATCAATAATGAGGGTGAACAAATATTATTATCTACCAGTCCATTGTAATTCAATAAATATGTAGACTTGAGAGCCATTCAGCCAAGTACTCGGATATTCTGTATTAGATCTTTCGGTTATTATGATTAACTTGAATCACTTCATATCATCTCTCAAGCCTTGTGTTTTGTCCATGTTGATAGTGTGGGAGATTGCTGTTTACTCCACAAAAGATTAGTCAAATTGCTTAGATATGTGAGTTGCGAAGCATGATCCTGCAGATGAAGATTCATTTGTCCTGTGATCGCCTTGATATAAAGATCTTATTTTAGGCAGAAATGTCGTTTTCTCCCTTTTTAAAGGTATACGTCAATTCTATCAAATGGATTTTTTTTTTTTTGAAAAAAAAATCTATCCAATTGGGTTCCAATCTGCTTTTATTGTGGAAAAAACTTTGTTGTCCACTTGCCTTCTTTAATTTACGAAGTTAAAAGTTCAATAAAGAAGATACTCTCAGAAAAGAGAGATAAAAAGAGGAACAGGGGCACAAGGATTCTCTTGCTAGAGCTTTCTTGTATTCTCCCGCGGCCATTCTCGTGAGAAAAATATCCTTTTATTTGTGGACAAATAGATGCCATATTTCTTCCAAGAATACGCTGTGTTTCTTGACTCTTCATCTCTGTGAAGACCAGAACCAAAAGGAACGGTGATCTCCCCCCCCCCCCTTCAAAAGAACGGTTATCTCTCTCTAGTCCATCCCTTTCCTAAAATATGAGTATAATAATTATGAAAATTTTTAAACTTGTGTTATATTTACTTTAAATAATATAGAAATGGTGGGTTATACCTAAAATAATTTATCGTTCAGTTCATGTGTACGTTCGAGAAAACCGCATGCTAAACATCGCTAGTTTCAAGTGAGTCAACCCCTTTTGGCCACAGAATCTTCGACGTAGCCAATTTTTTGGAAACAGAGAACGCGTCAGGTCAGTTTAACCTCACGAAACTCATATGCTAAGTGAAACTATGATCTGATTTGAAATAGCTTGAGATTTACGTGGACAAAAAAGGGCAAATGATGGGATATACTATATCGATGAAGAGATCACGTACACAAGTATCCAAGAGTTTCCTCCTATGAATCGATACAAAATGAGCTAGGCATTGTACCTAACTCATGCATACAAATCATCCCTTTTTCTTATTAAAAAAACTGATACATATCAGAGGAATGCATATATATGTTTAAACACTAACACCATTTTCTACATTCACTTGATCTGTTTCATTAGTACCACTTTCTCCATTTCCACTATCTTCTTCTGCTTCTTCATCATCTTCTTCGTTTTCTGCTTCCTCCTCCTCCTCCTCTTCTTCAGCATCTTCTTGCAGAAGAACATCATCATCAGGCTGAACAAAGTTGAGCGTCAGCCTTCCATTTTCCCTATGAGCATGAAGAAATTCCTTGGTAGGTATTCTTATTTCTTTCAGCACAAATCTCCCATTGTCTCTGTAAGACCTGAAGCAAACCCATGGCTTCCCGTTCTTCCCTATACAAGAAATAGGAGGAGGGTATTGTGTCTCTCCCACACTTCCCCTTGACTTCCTCCCATAGTGCTGGCCATTGCTCGAATTTCCTAAAGGAATATCCTCTTTCACTTTCAGCACCTCCCAAGTTTCATTCATTCCATTCTTCAATTCTTCAACATTATCTGAGCTTTCGAAGCCAAGTCCCTCAGTGCAAAGTTGCAGACTTTCACTGCCTCGGAGACTTTTGGAGTGGCTTTTTGATTCTGGAGCTCTCACAGTATCTTTCTGGGGAACCGATTCTAGTGATGATGAAGAATAACATGCTGGTGGAGGAAAGGATAAGTCTGGACTCTCTTTGAAATGGAGCTCACCAAATATCTCAGTGAATGAGCTTTGCTCTATGGGTTTTTTAGGTTTAATTTGGCTAAATGAGAGGGATTCAAGTAGAGTTGGGTTTTCTGGCAATGGGTTTTCGAAGATGTGCTGCAGACTTCTGCAAGCTGCCATGGCTGAACTTGCCGTGCAGTATTCTTCTATAGGAAGATCAATGTTCTCTAGAGAAAGGGAAAGAGAGGAGAAGATAGAGGGCACGAGAGAAGCATGATCTGCAAAAGCCAAGAGGGAACTCTGATTTTGGAGTCTTTTTGTGATGGAGTGGACTGCGGAATTAAATGGGTAGTTATAGGTGGGGAGCTTGGTTTGAATTCAAGTAATTTGGGTGACATTCACCCTACTATATGTAGAAGTTGGGTTTTATTATAGTCACTCAAGAGTGCATCGGGTATGAGACATCAGTGTTTTTATGACCACACCAACGCGGGTTTGATGATCATCATTACTTTTTTTTTTTTTAAATTATAGTGGATTTTGTGTACAAAAGCATCTAAAAGTGACATTACATTAAAAACTAAACGTCCACTTAAACAAGAAGTGGGTCCCATAATGGTTGCAAGGAAAATTCAAAATAGATGTGAACATACCTTAAAGATAAAGTCATATTTATGACTTATGAACAGTATAACTTCTTGTAACTTTTATATTTATATCAATAATTGTGTTATATTCTTGGCACAATAAAATTTAAGATTCATAGATAGAAAGTCGCACTATTCGTGAGCTATAGACAACGTCAAACCTTAGCTTAAAATTATTTCTGAATGTATGGTAGACTAAAATTATGATTTTTCTCTTGTTCAATTGAACAATCATGTCAATCTTGGTATCATCAAAACAAATGTCAAATTTGGGGTACAAGTTTTCATAGGCCTGATAAATTGGTTTGAAGTGTAGACATGTAACACAAATTGTAGCAGACAAAAAAATGACAGCAAAATGCATATATAGCATTTCTTCTTTTGATACGTGAAGAAGGGCAGAACCATAGCATCTCAACAATGCCCTCTGGTGCAAACAAAAATGGGAGAGGACCACAACCCTCTTAGTATGTGGAAGCCAAATTCCATCAAACTTTTGTTGACGGTGTCATCTACTCTTAATGGTGGCGTCCAGACTATGCTGATGTGATTGCCAATACCATTTTCTGCTCTTAAACTCTCCACATTCTCACATAGTTGAGCCACTTGTTTCCTTCCCAAGTGGCCTTTCACATTTCAATATCAAAAGCTACGTGGCTTTCTCTAGTGGACTTTTGTGGCAACACGTGTCTATAAAATGATTGGACAGGTGGAAGGCTACCTAGTCGTTGAATTGTGATCACAAATTTTGGGAGGACCTCATCCAGCAACTCAGGGCTTGAATCAAGTCGTTAATAAACAAGAAAAACATGCATCTCCTTGGCTCAGAATACACCAAGTTTTCGGAAGGCAAGTTATGTCACTTGAACCAAGAAGACTTTTGAGTCACACTGGCCCAGGTTAAACCATGCTATATTACAGAGGTTGTCCTTGTAATGAATCTATAATACAACCCTCTTTTAAGCTACAATTTTATGGGTAATTGGTGATTTCTAGATTTATCTAACCCACTTCTCGCGAAGTTTAAGTCTGAAAATCATATATGTAAGGGAAGGTGGAGTTTTTATTACTACCAAATGAGTATCTTCTATCCTACACATATGCAGATTTTTGAACCAATGTGAAGGCAAGATACTAGTCGCCACGTGCCTCTGTGCCTTTTGCCTCCGGTAATTATCATTTCTGGAAGGAACAAGAGGAATATTCGGTTTCAATCCTTTTTACTTGTACCATCTTATCTAGGAAAATGGTTGATTCTCTGCCCTCGTTTTCACCGCCTTATCATGATATGCATATAAGTACAACTAATATAGATCGATTGCTTCCATGTTTTAAAAAAGTTCCAATGTTCCCATTATCATTATCGCCTGGTCTTCTTTCCTCAGCTCGCTTGCCACCTCTCATGAAACGTCATCAATTTTGTCTATATTTTGTGGACCTGACTTTTCACAATCGCGCAAATCGTATTGTATACATATATCACTAAAAATCTGATGTTGGGACGTACAGTCCTTGATTGAACTGAAAAATATCCAAGGGAAAATTGGAAAGATGAAATTTTCAAATGAAAATGAATTAATATTTGCTTGAATACAACTAAAGTTAAAATGGTTGAAAGCGTGATGCAACCCACTCCCATTCTAGAGCCACAACTTCTTGCCTTTCACTCCTCTCTCTCCAGGAATGAAAGTGAGTTGAAAGTGAATTTCCCCCCACTTTTCACCCTTCTCTAAGCAACAATTTAGAAGGATTTTCATGTTAATGTGGGAACCCAAAAGCATTGTGAATAAAGCAACATACATTTCAACTATTATTCGGGAATAAATATGAGAAGACAAGCAAACACACGATAACCAGGATTCATTACAATCTAGTGTATTCATAGATCCCGGCAAATAAACGAAACAATACAATAAACACTTAACAATCAAACAAATTTACAATGCCACAATGTTTATAGAATAAGTTTACTCCAGCATGTTTGTGCTTGTTTCACCGCCATGGTTCTGCCTTCTCAGATCTTGAATTTATGCGACTCAGTTTACTGGTTCCCTTGGTTTTCTCAACAGTCGTTGTTCCTTGGTTAGAGGATTGATGGTCTCTGGTTTTCTTGGATCCCTTTCTTGAATTCGAATTGCTTGATTGGCCTGTCTTGCTCTTCCCAACATTTCCTTTAGGTGGATAATCACAATACAAATCCTCGTGGCATACTGGGTTTTCAGAAGAAGTCTCCAAACCACCAGATTCTCCTCCAGTTAAGTTGGTTTCCTGGTGGGAATCAGGGGCAGGGTTACTTTCTGAGACAGTGTTTTCAGTTGTGAGGGCCTGAGCCTCTTCATTATCTTTAGCAGAATCTGGCTGGCAGAACTGTATAGGGCTATGGTGACTATTATCATCAGAGGGCTCTAAATGAAAACCAGGCGAAGGTTCCACTATAGAATCCCTTCTTTCCCTCAGCGTCCTTAGTATCAGTGTCTTCAAGAAGTTCATCACTTGAACTGCATACATCAACGCAGTCAGAGGGTCGGCCATCTGCATTCAGAAGGTCAGAATTCTGTCATTGACATCCCCGCCATCAAATTTGTATAGATAGACCATTGCACTGTCAAATTTACTAGGAATCATAGTACTTCACCAGACACCCCCTTTGGAGAAAGGGCACATCCCAATATTATAACTTCTAATTAGAATCAATATCAATAAATAGATATATGTAAGTCAGAAACTTGCGGAAAACCGCACAGTTCACAGTGCTGAGTTATGAATATTATGGCTTCTAGTCTCAAGCTCCATGCATTTGGTGCATGAGATCCAGTTTGCAGCATTTAGTGGGATAATACCATGTCACTTTATTGTATTTCCTCTAGAATTAGGAACTTAGAGGAGCCTACCTGAGTCATGTTTGGGGCGAAAACCATTGCAATGTTGCGTGCATTCATTTTATTCAGATGTTCATACTGGACAACGTCAGTCATCAGATTGATTGCCCAGTCCAAGAGGGCAGCTTCAGTGGGAGGCAGATTCCTTGCTAGTTCAGCACACTCCTCTTCAGTTTGGCTTTTCATTACCTGATCAGGTGATAAGGAATCCAGAACGCCTATTGGCAGTTCCCTAAACCAAGCCTTGGTAATGTACAAGAATATCAAACCAATTGTTAGATTAAGTGCAAACTAAGCATTAAACAGAATCACACAGACATATAGCAAATTTGTTAGCAGCAGCCACAGAAACTGATTTCTCATGGACCTCTAAATTCTCTCTGCAAAATACATTATTGCACTTTTATATCAATTCGATAGTCGGTTTGAACAATTGTACTGTTCATTAGACCTATACAAATAAACTAGTCGTGAATATCATAAATTCTGAGAGCAAATTCATTCATCAATACAATATCTATTTCAACACAAGGATATATGAACAAATGCACTAGAAGAGAGGAATCGAAGGCAATTTGACCTGCGATTTTATACCTTGATAAGTCCCGCTAAGCAATGTACATCAACGCCTTCAGGGACCACTCCCCTGTTTAATTGGTCCCTAACATATTCCTCTTGACTATTTTCTGCATTAATTCTGAATATGCCCTCTGCCTGCACAAGTGAATTTAACAATTCATCCATTAACAATCAAATTGGCAAACAGTAGAAACTTAGAGAGTGTAAGTCCCTCTAGAGTCTAGAGCAGATGATACAAAAGCATCCGAGCAGGACAGTCCTTTTTGGCTATTTTATGCATAATGTTTGTAGCGGCTAAGAAGTCTAAATGAGAAGAAGCTGGAAAATAGGAAAAAGAGAAATTGATAATGATAATGAACTGGTTAAAACCTGCAAACCTCCTTCACTATACAGGCGTTTTTGCATTAATAGCAGAATAGTTGGCACGCTGTTCCCTCTGGAGTCAAATGATAGCTGCATGGATTCTGTTGAAACTCCAAAGACAGTGGCACTATATGGGACAATTCAAAGAAATAGTTGGAGTGCTTGCGTGAAGAATCAGCAAAAACAGATTATCTATAAAGGAATCATAATTTAATCAACATTCAGAAGTAAACAGTCTTATACGACCCCGGGGGGGGGGGGGGGGACGAAATGGAGTCATTAGTTTACTTGTATAGGCAAGATCAAGCATGGAAGATATACGTTAAGTATGGAAAGCGAAAGGAAATGGGGATGCGGGTGACTATCACAAGACTCTTCACAATCATTTAAAATATTACTCTAAAAGAACTATTTGTAAATATTTAAAAAAGAAAGATTTATTTATTATACTCCTCCCGTCCTTAATATAAGACTCACTTAACTAATTTGATTAGATTAAAGAAGTTAGGTAAGTTAGTTAATTATAAAAAATGTGACACGTTTTTCCTAAAATATCATAATCATCTTTCTTAATACCCCATCTCCCTTTTCTACTTGATTATGGTTGAGGGAGTATCTATAGGGGTAATTTAGAGAAAATTGATAAATATGAGAAATGGGTCTTATATTTAAGACCAAAACCAATTCAATAATTGGGTCCTATATTAAGGACCGGGAGAGTATCAGATATATAATTAGATGTGTTTAATAAATAATATATATAATTAAATTCCAAAATACATTACAAGCATTAGGACAAATATAAGAGACAGATAGCAGAAAGGACTAAGCAGTAAAAAATAACGAAGACTAATGACAAAAATGAGTTTTTTTGCTATTCATGAGTATTCTTCTGTTAGAAACAATTCAATTTGAAGTATTGTTGGGTACTTAAATATCAGTACCTTTTGTAATGAGGATTTTAATCTTAGTTTATCATGAAAAAATGTCTTCTACTAGACTTAATCGGGGTTGCTCAGCGGACAAAAATGAAATGGAAGGCGAAATAACAAAGAAAGTGAGAAAGAAAGAGAGTAAACAATGGAAAGGTCAATTTGCTCAAACTTGGGTTTCCGATGAAAAAGTTATTCGGCCCAATACGAATCTAAATCTCACACAGATAGCTTTTTTGGGGTCATAACTCAGGTATTGGGATTGCGAATTTTTTGGTCCCATCATAGTTCGCCCAAAAAAATCAGGACAAGACTTAAGGGCCCAGAGGGGGAAAACCATCCTGTAATCCGTGGACAATTTGGAATATGTATGTTGAATTTTGTCACTAAATCGCCCTTTGCAACTTGGAAACTTGGATTTTTCTCTAAAAGGGAAATAAATCAAAGGCCCAATGGGTATACCAGTTAAAATAGATCGATTGCCTCATCAATTATTACATGGGGCACAAAATGATTTTCAAAGTCATTTATTAAACTCCCTGATCCAAATCATTAAGATTCAAGCCCGTGCGTATCCCAAACTAGAGATCACGTCTGCCAAAAAGTAAAACGAAAAAAAAAAAAAAAATCGTGGTCTCAAAACCATTGACCTCACACTTGTAATCCGTCCATTTCGAGTCTAACCCATATACCATACACGCTAGCTAGACACATTAACGTAACTCCACGGTCGCAAATTTTTCTTGCCATGAACAGAGGTAAAGATATTACTACCTAATTAGAAGATCTTATTTGTATACTATAAATAAAGTCTTATCATTAGGATTGTAGGTAGTAATACTTAAAAGCATGCATGATTATAAACATGTCAACGTCGGTTTGGAAACCGAATTTCATTAAGCTTGGCACTTGAGAAGAAGTAGAAGAAGGAGAAATGAACTCGGCGTGCGATGGTTATAAAAAGTTAGAAGAAGGAGAAGAAGTACCTAGCACTGGGAGGCCTTCTGGGCACTTCAGGTTCGAATTCGTCAGGCAAACCCAAGAAACCATTGAACCTATCAAATGTGACGTGCGCAACATGGCGCACGTTAGTCGGCCATCCGATCTCCATCTTGCAGAGCTCCCTCCTATTACTCTTACAGCCAATCAGTGGTTTCCTGAAAAGCGTCGCAACAAGTGCCAACACAGAAAGTTGTTCGCTCCGGTGCTTATTATCCCTGTCCTTCAGCTCCTGATCAGTGTCTGAATACGCCGTTGTATTATTATTACGATCCTCCTCGATCACAGAAGACGAGCGAGTCTGTGTTGCTTGGATGAAGAGAATGCCATTACTGGGAAGTGCTGTGGAAGAAAGTGAAGGAGGAGGAGGAGGAGGAGAAGAGCTTCTGCTTGACGAGGAAGAAAAATGGGAATAAGGGCAATGAAGGACCTCGGTCATGGCTGGCAATGAAAGGGGACTTTTCTTAAAATATAAAAAACCCAAGAACCCAAAAACGCTTGAGAGATATTGTGGACTAAGAAAACAATAATGAAAGGGAAATATTTGTTGATTTCTTCAGCAATATGAGAATTTCACTGAGAGAGAGAGATTTGAAGATGGAGTTGATTTGAAGCAAAAGGGTAAGCAGAATGTGGGACGTGAGCATCATTAACTGAATTTTTTAAAGTAGTTATATGTGTTGTTGCGTGTTGTGGTGCGTTCAGCAAGCAAAGACGACTTAGAATACAGAAGGATGCGGAAGTGAAGGGGAAAGACGGAAAGAGAAAGAAAATTTATTGGTGGGAAATGAATTGAGAGCTAGAAAATTTTAGAATAGGGATATTCAATCATGTCCAAAATCAGTGTTGTTGAAAGTTGCAGGTTGAAAGAGCAATAATAATATAATAATATACAGTTTGGTGGCGCTTCAGATTTGTCGCTTCATCTGCGTTACAGACCTTATTAGTAGTAATCTTTTATTAAAAGCTTCAAACCATTCGACAAAAAGGAGGGGAGGAAAAAAAAAGGTTTCAAGCCTTCAAGGTGAGGACCGAGGATCCTTGTATAATCTGCATAGTGGGTAGTACAGTAATCTGTTATGCGCGTCTCCAATTATGGCCAAAAAAAAGAAAACTATGCTGGAAAGTTTTGGTAAATATCCAAGGTGTTTATGATCTGACTCGTGACAAGTACAAGTTAGAGTACAATCTTAAAAGATTAGCATAGTCTTTTTTGGTCGGAAAACTCTCAATAAAAACACTAATTGCGATTAACACAAACTTAGAGAGAGAACTTGATTCTAAAAGACAAGACAGAAAAAACCCTTAAATTTATGAACTCTGCTATATTTGTGAAAATCTCCAAGATGGGATGACTAAAATTTTTTATCGTTTGATGTCAAAGAAATATATAGTTAAAAAGCAAAGTAAAACATTTGAATTACATTTGTTTAATGAAAAGAGTGAGAGAAGGAAGGGGTGAATCATGTGAAAACAGACTCACATAAAATTAAGAAGAATACATTTGCACTTCTTAATTTTGTTTCTGATCACTCGGAAAAATCTTGATTTGTCTTGGTCATAATATCTACAAAAATATGCTAACTACCATACATAGTACTCGATCTTTTTGAGTATTCTTTACATAAGAGTTATCCAAAAGTTATCAAGTAAACTTTGAGATTACCCCAAATCAAATACATATATAACAAAATGTAAAAATATACTGCTGCAAGTACATGTTTAATATATGCTTGTCAAATCTGGTTCTGTGTGCCAAGCCATGCGTGATATATATATTGGCATATAAAATAATGGTGTTAAATAAAATTTAGAATTAAGTAATAGCTATAAGCTAAATGATGATAAAATAACAAAGCGAACTAGTATATGGTGATATGGCGGCGAGCCTCGCATTCCGCGTTTGAAAGAACATGAGGTGGATGGGAGTAAAAGCTGGTGAATTGTTGCAGATCGCAGATAGACAATATGATAACAAAAAGAAAATTGAACAACCACGGAGAAGAACAACACTATTGTTTCCTTTGGATAAAGAATTAGCATAGTGCGTTATTTCCCTTCCAAGTCAAGTTAGAAAATGTCAAAAGTAAGACAAGTAGACAACAACGATGGCCACGGCACGGGATCGCCTCCTGTGAGCATCTCTACACTGCCTCACGATTCCGAAATTTTGAACCGTTGATCGCATCCAACAGCTCTCACCTCATTTGCCCCTCGCTTATCTCTATCTTATGTTGCAACTTGCATCCCAACTCCCACTATTAGTCTATTACCATCCGTTTTTTATTACTTTAAACTTTTGTAATTAAATAGTTTTTTTACTTATTGATAATAAATTCAGAAAAAACTTAGGTCGAGTTGTTTATATCTATTATATCAAGTTCTCTAATTACACATAGTCACATTTTTCTTTTGTTTTATGTGAATTTATAATTAAATACTAACATTTTAAAAATAGGATACATAAACATGTGTGATGGAAGAACCTGATATAATGAATATAAAAAACTTAGGGTACGTTGGGTATGAATAAAGTGAAGGGGAAGAGAGGTGAGAAAAAATTTTAATGGGTTCATTTAAAAAAAATTGAACAAGTGGGGTTAAAAGTTTTTAATTAATTTTTATTACTTTTTTATCTTATATTTTATCTTTACTAAAATTTTAAAATCCCCCTTCTCCTATATTTTAAATCAAACTCATTAAGATTTTTTCTTGTCCAAATTTTTAATATTTGATTTAAATCTCACTAAAAGTTTTTGATTGCAAACACTGTTGGGTATTTTTATACCTTCCTTTCTTCATACATATATTATGAAAAGTTATTTATATCTGTGTAATCTTTTTCCTATTCGTTCAGTATTTGTATTTCAGTGCCAGTAGGAATCAAATGCAGTTGTGAATCTATCCCTCGTGTAACGTGTGAGAAAGAAAAGTAATCATAGTGCAAATAAAAACAAAACAATAAAATTTTTCATTGGAGTTGAATAAATAATTTAAAATTTTTTAAATTTAAAAAAAAACCAAAAAGGAAACAAAAAAGAAAAAAAGAAAAAAGGGGAGGGGGGAAAGAGAGGATGGATTCTGGAGTACGCTAGCTGTAGGCCTGTAGCTGTTGGATATAATTAACGGTCCATATATGCTCGCAATTGTGGCGCACTGCAGGTAACAGGATCAGGGGATCCACGTCCCGATGACAGGTCTTTCTCCCCCTCACTCGCTCTCCATTTTTATTTATTTATTTATTTATTCTTTACATGGACTCTCTCCACATAAACACGCGCACATTTACATTGATCATATTAAAATTGTGAATGAGGGGATGATTAAAAATCAGAAGTGGAATCGGTTGATATGCGTTTGGGCAGCCGAATCATTGGATGTTTGACGCGTATTAGGTTTTGGGCTCCTTGACGGCAATGATTATCCAAAGAAGCTAACCGTTAATTCGGAAGTTATGGAAATTTACAATTTACGCAGAAATTTCAATGCATAGGGAAGCAGAACACATAAAAAAAAATAACAACAATAATAATACTCGTATCATTAATAACTGAACAAATTGCTCAGGTCGTTTACTCTCTCAAGGAACACACAGAGGTCGAGAGAATGTATGATTATGAATTTATGATTAACATGACTCCACTGGCAATACCAGCCAGGAGATCATTTTGGGTTCACTAAGGGTTCATTGCACGAAATCTCCCAACTAGCGTTCTCATTTATTCATTAAAAAAAATGAAAAACGGGTTTTATTTTATTTATTATCTATTGTTCAAATAACAATGTTTATAAAATTCATACCGTTGAAGTAAACCAAAAAAAAAAAATGATAGTGTTGAAATGGTTCACTTCATCTGGCCAAAAAAAGAAAAAAAAAGAAATGGTTCACTTCATAGTCCTCTGCCCTAGCGAGACGATATTATCTCTTGAATTAGGATTCATCATCGTTGGGCGCGAGGCATCGATTAACTTCTACGCGGGAACATACCCATACTAGTACATTGGATTCTAATTAAATGTACTTAACTAATAGCGGTACTGTGATGGGTAACTTTCAGAAAATTCCTCATGTTCATCTCTTTTTCAAGATAATTCTCCACATGTAAGCAATAGGTGGACGTTGATGGAGGTTAGATCGGTAAATCCTGAGTTTACTACTGTATTTTAGCTAGCAAATTGTGATTTAAGTATGGTTTTTGAAATGCGACTCTCCCAAAAGAGAGAGAAGAAGGGGAAAAAAAAACATAGCATCATGAACTTGTTGATTAAGAAATTATCTGGAATTGCGGTTTTATAGAATACAATATAAATATGTGAAAAGAGTTTTATTTTAATTTATTTAAAAATATTTATAAACATTTAAGATGTTGGAATTAATGACCTGGACTGATGAGAGTCTCCCCCCTTCATGCTCTTATCAAACGCCGCTGCGCGGTGCCTCCAAGCATACCTGAGTGTTCATGCACGTCTTTGGTGATATATTCCTTCGTATTCCTTAGGATTTATTCGCTGCATTCATAATTACCCGCTTCGCTCAAAATCGAGTCCGCGTGAATGGCGAGATTTCACCTTTTTGGATAAATTACCAAGTTGTTGTCATCTCGTGATGGTGTGGCTGATTTTCTGTAGATTTTATGGACACATCAAACGCAATTTTTTCTTTTGTGCATGACATAAAATTTTGAACTAACATTTAGCTTTTTATTAAAAAGGTATATTTTTTTTATTAGATCTCATCAAACACTAAATATAAATATCTTTTTGAGATTCATACTTAACCTCTTTCACTACGTATGGAAAGTATTTAGATAAAAACCAAACTATAATTTTAAAATTGATTTTATAGAGTTAGATGTGATTATGTTAAAAAAAAATTTTATGCTAACTTATGTAAAAACATTTAAAAAAGTGCTTCTAAAAGCTCTCAAATTCTGCCATACTGTCATTCGCAGTGCACTTTTTTAATGGAGATGCTAATTATATACCCTCCCGACTACTGTTGAGGTGCCCCGTGGCCCGTGCCCTTATCATTTTGGGTCTTATTTGATGGCTCCTCGGCTCCCTATTGAAAACTATGTTTCCAATGGGCTGGTTTTGGTTAGTCTAACTAGGGGCATTTTAAGGACTTGATTGCTGTGAAGGAAATATGAAGAAGAGGAGGGGAAAAAAATTGAAAAAGTAAGATTTTAAAATTTTAAAAATTAAATTTTTTAAATCGAACTCATTTCCCTCCTCCCCCACTTTCTGTTTGAGAATGAGAAGTTTTAATAAGTTTAATGTTTTTAAAATGGAAGTCATTAAAATCTTAAATTTTCTACTCTCCGGCCAATCCAGGGTTAATTTTTTCAAATAGAAAAAAAATTAAAATCCATAAAGGATAAGATTTGTTTATATATAATGACGATTAATGGGTAAAAAATGATTAAATTTTGATTGAAAATACTAGTGACCCGGGTGAACAATGCAAATTTTAATCGCATTTATAATTTTGACTTTCCTCTAACCCAGCTCAGCTTGAC